GCCAAGTTGAACAACTATGGAAGGGCATGCAGGTATGATTACCACTTATTTATGTTTCATTTGTTATATATATATATAAGCTTGAAACTCATGGGAGCTGATTTTCAGTGTTTTCTTATACTTAACAGAATTTTAACAAGTTGAAACTCATCAATCTCAGTCACTCCTGCAATCTCGTCAAGACACCGGATTTTAGAGGGGTCCCAAATCTTGAGAAGCTGATTCTTGAAAGTTGCACAAAATTGCATGAGATTGACCAATCAATCAGAGTTCTTGAAAGCCTCATTCTATTAAACCTGAAAGATTGCAAAAAGCTTTCCAGTCTTCCTCAGAGTATATATGGGTTAAAATCCCTTAAAACTGTCAACTTATCTGGATGTTCAAAACTCGTGTACAGTCTGGAGGAATTGGGGAATGCAGAATGTTTGGAGGAGCTTGATATAAGTGGAACTGCAATTAGACAGCCACCATCTTCCTTCTCTCACTTCAAAAAGCTTAAAAAGCTATCTCTTCGTGGATGTAAAGGACAGCTGCGCAAGACTCGGATGGCCCTTTTATCCTTTTTTCAGGGAAAAAGGTCAAATTTGATGAGTTTGTCATTGAATTCATTCTCAGGATTATGCTCTTTAGTAGCATTGGATTTAAGTAACTGCAATCTACAGGAAGAATCAATTCCCAGTGACATCAGCTGCTTAACATCATTAAGTGTATTAAACCTGAGTGGCAACAACTTTACTACCCTACCTGCAAGTATCCATGAAATTTCCAATCTTGATTATCTTTATTTGGATGATTGCAAGAGGCTTCAATCACTGGAGGCACTTCCATCGTATCTGAACTTTGTAAGTGCACAGGCTTGTACTTCATTGGAAACTTTACCAGAGACATTGGATCAATGCAGCTTGCAATCTCTGGAATTAAATTGTGCCGATAGCTTTTCTTTAGTTGAGAATCAAGGCCCTAGCCACATTCAGTTTCTCATGTCACTGAAATGCCTGACTTATTTCAGTAACTGTCTTGTGTTTGCTTACCCGACTCACTTACTCCCGGAGGGTTCTCTTAGGTTACGAGAGCCAGTTAATAGGGCACCTAGATCTGACATTGTTGTTTTTGGAAGTGAAATTCCAAAGTGGTTCAACTATCAGAGTTCGGGGAACTCAGTAACTATACAGCTGCCACCAGTTTGGAATGATAGGCATTGGGTGGGATTTGTTTTTTGTGCTGTTTATGTAAATCGTGATAATTTATTCTCTGACTTGCGCAATATTCATTTTCAGTGTCATATTGTGATCAAGAGCCATTCCCATGAAAAAATAGAGGGCTTTTGTTCACACACCTATGTACTTGAAAATGGTTATGTGGAAAACCAGATTGATCACACATGGCTCTTCTATTTGCCGCGTTGTGCATTATTTGATAGAGATTGGCAGGATACATCCAACACTACTCGCTACATTGAAGTTAAGTTCATAGACTTGAGCGGAAAATTCCACGTGAAGAAGTGTGGCATTCGTTTAGTTTATAAGGATGATGCACTGGAGTTCTTCCAAATATTTGACCAATTTTTCAGCTCTTATGAGAATTTCAATTTTCTACATCAAGAATTTGAGAAAATTAGCACTGGATGGTATCTTAATTATGATAGCTGTGACAATGACGGAGCAGAATCCAGTGGAAAAGGCATCTTCCATGAGGAACCACAGCGTTCAGATTGAAAGGACTAGATTGAATTGATGCAGGTAGAATGATCTTGAACTCATGGAGAAAATCTCCAACTTTCAATAGTAACCTTGTAGATTTTTAGTTGCTCTGCCTTTTAAATTCATAACTTGACTATGTAATTCTTTTCTTATACAGTGGCCTTGGGTGTTTTTATAATAAGATGAAGTTTGAAACTTACAGAATTTGTCTAGGTGCTAAGAGAGTTATTTTATTTTCTTTATCTTCAAGCCCAGATATGCCTTTTACACGCAGCGTTTAGTTAGTAAAACTACTGTCTTGCTATAATTTTCATTTCTAATGCTCAATTCATTCTTATTTCTCAATTGGCTTCATTAGACAGTCACAAAGCATGTCTCTAGATTTTCATTCTCATCCTTTGAGAGAACTAGAATTAAATTTCTTTTCTTTTAAGATACTGAGAAGGATCTCCTTAAGTATATTATAATCTTTTTCTGTGAAGAAAGGTACAAATCAATCAAAAGTTTTGAACGTTGTTTTCGTTTTGATGTAATGATCCTAATCTGAAACTTCCACAATTCTGCAAATGCTATTGACATGTTTTAAAACATTGGCATGCTATGGAAAAATGGTGAGAGAATTTAGAAATCAATTGGTCTTGTACATTTCATATGCTGGCATAGATGAGCATACTTGTTACATATGTAAATATGTTTCTTCACAAATGTGATTCTCCCATGCCTGTTGCAAATTCAATTCATGTCTTGTCTTCTGATAAGGTTAGCTAGTGGTTGTAGATGATCTTAATGAATGGATTGTGGTTTGGGTGTCAGGTTCATGTGTGTCTTATGCTGGCAGGGTGATTGTAGCAATAATTCGGAGAGGATAAAGGCAGCAGGCAAGGGGCCGGGGACATGTTACTGTGGGCAGTACAGTACTCTTGATTTTTTTGGGGTAGTTACAGAGCATGCAAAGATGTCATGGCATGGCATGCTTAGCTGGAGACCTTGATGGTATGGTGCCTTCTAATGTTTCATTTTTATGATTGATATAATTTCAATTTTCATTTTTGGTTTTGACATTGCTTAGGTCTTTATAGATAATGCATGTAGACTATGGAGGATTCCCACCTGTTTCCTGTTTCTCATATGATCTGGATTCAGGATAACTTTCAAAGTTTTGACTTGTGTCTCTACCTTTATCTTTTGATTTTGGTGTCAACAATATTTTTTGTCAATAATCCATTATGAAGCAAATTATTTCTTCCAAATTTATTTTCTGAGAGCAAAGAAATGAATAGTCAAATTGTTTATTTATTATGTTCATTCAGAAGCAGTAGCTTTAATTTCCAATATTTTCTGATTTAGCTTCACGAGGATGCTTTCCCTTGAGAGTAATTTCGCCAACCTACACAAATCCAACAAAAGCCAAAATTAATAAACAAATGAATAATAGAAGATGATGAAATTAAATTAAGAGTTGCTTGACATGATCAGTAGAAGATGAATATATATGCTTTATGAGAGCTTCTTCGTTTGTCGTCTTATTAATTGGTTCTGAAAGTCCAGTGCCTAAATTCATCTTTGACAAGGTTCTTCAAATTCTTTTTTGTGGCAACATCTACAGATGAAAGTCTTCCAGTCAATGTATCATCCTGCATTATTTTTCAAACATATTAATGTCAGATTATGTCTTTTTTAGTATAATTAGGTTGTATACAACGACAAGATGGGCATGAAGCGTGATATACACCTGAATTCGAAGATAATTTTCTTCCAAATTAAGGGTTTGAAATTTAGTGGAAATTTGAAAATCAACCGTCATCCCCATCTTGTGTAAGCAGATCCACTAATGGAGTAGAATGGTCAGTAGTCAACCATTCCAATATATCACACTTAGCTGCTTTATCTGCATCGCACTTTTCTTCTGATTTTGCTGTACCAGTCCCCAAAGACAGGACTAGAAATCGGCAATATTCCTTTGGGTTTATGGGGAAGAAATCAGGATTCTTCCTATTAATTCCTTTTTAAACTTCACTTATAGCAAGTAAAGTCTGTTCAAAATCCAAAACGAAATAAATTATAAGTTTTTTTTTTTCATACAAGTTCAAGAATACTTAATTAGTAACTTGGCAATTTCAAGGGAAAAAAAAAAACTGTTTCACTGCAATAATTCGTCATTAGTATTATTACCTGTCTTGAGGAAAGATTTTAGCGCAGTTCTCAAGGTAGAAGTCATTAATGTCTTTGGCAGCAAACAACGGGCGGTCCCTGAAATCAAATCAAAGTAATCTGCAATTCTTGCATCTGCACCATCCAGCTTCAACAAAAATATTGAATAGCAAAACAACTACCCAGTCATATATACAGGAGGGTAAAACTGGGGTTTCCAATTATATATACATACCGATTACACATGGAAGGCGAAAACTATTAATTTCTTATGATCTACCTGAAGTTCAGACTCTAAAAAGGCAAGGATAGTTCGTGGTATAATGCCTCTTATTCCACCTCCATCAATGATAAGAATAGTGATTTGGTTTCCATAAGTTGGAGGTTGAAGGGGCGATCATGCAGTTTCCATAACTGACAGAAATTCCAAAAATATATTTAAAGAGGGAATTAAGAGAACTGGAAGTGGAAGAATTAGAGAGGTTTAGCATAAACTTTCTGAGAGTTTTGAGAGATCGATAGCTAGTAATTGTTGAAACCTTGCTATCTCCACAGGGAATGCAGAGGTTATAGACTTCTAGTCCTTGTGAAATTCGGAATTTTCAACAGAAGGATTTTACTCTCCCAATCCGGATAAAATAAGGAAAGTAATTATCAATCTATGAATTACTTTTGAACACAAACTCTAAATAACTAAAAAAAGCTAATGCCTCCATTTATTTTACCGACCCCTTCAATCCCAATCCAATCAGGACAAAAATTTCCAAATCGTAAACGGAAGTAGAAAATTAATGCTATATATATTAACCCCACCTCTCTAATTCTTGCATGCAAATCTCTTTGGTCATTAGTTAGTACGCTCTTTCTCAAGCCCTTCTGTTGCCTTAGCATGGCTCGTTCATTGATTCTTCTGATCGCCATCTTTCTTGCTTTTTTCCATGGTCATGCTTAGCTCAACAACAACCATGCGCAACCTACAAATTTTCAAACAACAAACAGTTTTCTTCTTGCAGTGATTTGCCTGTTTTGAGTTTTTGTCTACACTGGAACTACTATCCATCATCCAACAGAGTTGATGTTGCCTTCAGGCATACTGGTGTAACCGACCGTAGATGGATTGCTTGGGCTATCAATCCGACTTCACGAGGGATGATAGGCTCGCAAGCAATCGTTTCTTTTCCAAGAACTGATGGAAATCTTGCAGTTTATACCTCACCGATAACAAGTTACGGAACACGATTGGAACAAGGAAATCTTACCTTTCCTGTCTTCGATATATCTGCTACAAATCAGAACAATGAGATGATAATCTATGCCAGTCTGCAGCTCCATGGAAACATCAGTACAGTCAATCATCTCTGGCAAGTAGGTCCAATGTCTGGAAACACTCCAATGATGCATAGCGTTGCTCCATCCAGTCCTAATGTTAAATCCATGGGGAGTTTGGATTTCCTTTCGGGGAGGACTACTTCTACAAAAAGTTCTCCAAGCACACTGAAAACCGTCCATGGAATATTGAACACAGTAAGCTGGGGTATTCTAATGCCTATTGGGGCCATCATTGCAAGGTACATGAAAAGGTTCGAATCTGCCAACCCTTTGTGGTTCTACTTGCATGTCAGCTGTCAAATGCTGGCTTGTATTCTTGGTGTTCTTCCTGGATTTGTGACTGGGATTGTTCTTGGCTTGAGGTCCCAAGGAATCGAACATTCCTGTCACAGGATCATCGGCATTGTCCTATTCTGTCTTGCAATGGCACAGGTGTTGGGTGGCTTGTTCAGACCTAACAAAGACAGCAAGTATCGGCCTTTCTTCAACTGGTTCCACTGCTTGGTGGGCTTTTCAACACTTATCCTAAGCGCATCCAACATATTTGTGGGATTTGGCATATTACGCACTGCAAACTTTTGGAGGAATGCCTACATTGCCGTATTAGGAGTCTTGGGGTCCATCGTGTTGCTATTGGAATTATACTTTTGGTACATTAATCGGATTAAAGGTCGGAAGTCAGAAACCTCGGACAAGAACAAGTCCACTGGCATTGCAGTAGCAGCATAGGAAAAGGTTTAGATTCTACTGCTAGGGTTTTCCTTTATGAAAAACTCATTGAGGCAAACATATAATTTGTTCAATTTTCAATATAATAATTATCTGAGTAAGATATTTCTAAATTCCATAAATGTGAGCTTAGTTGAATTTATAATATTATAATATATAGCTTGCTTTTCATATCTGGTAGCCATGGGGCTTACTTCCCTTTTCACTGAATGATCGAAATTTCTTCTTTATTCTCAGAGTTATGTGTTTTTAGGCACTTTATTATTCAAATTTGCAGAAAAAACCCTTTATGAGGAAACTATCTCGATTCTACACAATCTGAAATAATTTGTAAATATTTTTTTATTGTTGCTCTTTTATCTCTGTATATATATTTCTCAAATTTTCCTTCTGTATCTCAGGGCTGTATTATTCACCTTAAACGACATTGTACTATTTGACATTGATTTGGTCAATCTTGATTAGATCCAACTTAATATATATATATATATATATATATATAACGAGATATTTTTTAATCAATTTTCATAACAATCCACATTAAATCTACTTTTGAAATTAAATCAATGTGTGAATTGCTTCTTAAGCCAAATTAGCCTAAACCGAACACTGTTAAGAGATAATTATGATTAGTTATCGTAGATAGCAAGAATTGAATGTTGGTACGATCAACCAAAACAACTCTCTTAGTTAACTTTTAATAATAAATCCATCTTAACAATCAAATAGACTGTGAAACTTTCACATAGTGTACATCTAAAAAACTTCATTACATAAATTTTGGGAAAATTAATATTACATTTGGTTAATAATAAATTTAAATAAATTTTTTTAAGTAGAGTTTTAAGATTGTAAGGCTTGACGATATCAGCACCTCCACTCCACATTTCCGTTGGATTAATTCCATCGAAAAACAAATACTCGTTCACATTATCACATACTGTTTCAGGACCGCAACCTGTAAGGTTTCCTTTGTATGGACCAGTTCCACAACATTCCCCACCACACCCTCCTTAAGACCTACACACAATTTCAATGACATGTTAGAATAGACAACATTCGAAACTATGCAAGCTGTAGTTCTAGAGAAGCATTGAGAAGCAGGCAAAGATTAGTAGCAGAGAAACATTGGAAACTATGCAAGCTGTAGTAAAGAAACATTGGAAACTATGCAAGCTGTAGTAGAGAAACATTGAAAAGTAGGAAAGCTTTTCGAGGGAAAATTAGTAGAGAGGCATACCGTATTTTGATGGGTGGTTAATTCTTTCGTTTGTAGCAGCATAGAAATCAAAAACTGAATATTTAAATCCTTGTAGCTTTTTCTGAAGTTTTTTGAGGGCTTTATTTAGTGCTTGATTATGGAGTTGTGCAAGCACCGTCACTCCATCCATGCACCCTACCGATCCATTCTTTTTGGCCTCTTTATTTCCTCTCAGGAAAGGTGAGCAACCCAAATCACCTAAATTTGAAAATCCAAATTTCCTTCCTCCCATGTTATGAATTTCCTGATGCACCAAAGTACAATCAAATAAAAAACTTGCAAAGATAAGAATAGAAAAGGTGGCTGTGTTGTGTTAATTACCTGCATCACAGTTGTGAGGTTGCCAATAACCATCTTGTCATACTCTTTCCCTTTTGTAGGATTGGAGAGCGGTGGGCTTTTGAGGGGCAAATGTTATTTAATCAGCGCTTCCAATGCTAAACATGTAAACAGCTCTAGACAGCAACATCTTCGCTTTTGCATCACCAAATTTCTGTCTTAGGTACTTCTCCAGAAACTCGAAATGGCTTAGTTGAGTTGTAAGGTCTATCGTCTTCACAAGGGAAATCAAAATAATGATTTAAAGTGGATGAAATTGTTCAAGATAAAACAACAGGAAAGAAAAATGTTGCTGAGGGATCTCATCTCTTCTTACCAATAAAATCTGGAACTAATCGACCATCAGAAGCCCTTCCTGTTGCGTCATTAAAGAAGGTTTCCCCGTATGGCAAGAAGTTAGTTTTGAATGGAGTTTCCATATAGTTATTATTTCCAACATCGTTCCACGAACCACCAAAAATAAATAAGGGGCATTACGAGAGTGACTACGACAGCTTGTTGCAACAACAAGGCTTGCAAATAACACCAAAAACAAAGAAAAGTTATTGAATCTTAAGGTTGCCATATTTCACTTGGAACAAAAGTTGGTGGTTCACAATACGACTCTGCTTGCTAATTTATACAAGAAAGTGGTGCAATTTTTGTTCTCTCTTCCTTTGAATTCTCCTCATTTCTAGAAAAAAGAAGAGCAAAATAGTTTAATAATACTAATGACACGTTGGGACACACTTGCGAGGATAGACCAATGGGATTCCTTTAGCTGCCAAGAAAGAGTTTTTGTTATTTTGGGAAACCCAAGTTGTTTTGGGTTGTAGTCATGCATACCTAATTACTTAACCCATGAAAGGTTGTTTAACTGTCGTAATTCGTAAACTAGCATATAAGTTTGTTTTTACTACTAGGATAGGTGGATTTACAAGTAGTTTTTTATGCACATCCTTTAAAACTTTGACCTGTGAAATTATTATGTTTTAAATGGTTAACTTTCTGTTAGTCCTCTGTTTCCCTTGTTTAAATTTCTTTTATGTTCCAAACTGAAAAATATATGACTCTACATATTCAAATAACTGTCGTTATATAATGATTTTAGAGCATTCCATTACCGTTATTCAGGATTGCAAATGGCATAATGTCGTTTCATATGAATAATGATGTTATCATTACGTAATGTTCTTATTTAAATTTATTAACAACTGTAATATATTTATGACATCGGTTGTCGTGATCATTATTTTAGTGTCACAACTCGTAATTGCTATTGTTTTTTCAACAAATATGTATGACTCTGCTCCTCCTCGCCCATCCTTTGAATCTTCTCTCACCAGTAGTTGTGGTTTTTAAGGACATGTTCCAACAAATCTTATCCCCCACTCTCCTACTCTTCCCACTGCGTGTCAAATTTCCAATGAATTTGGCCATGCAACTAGCAACTGTCTTACTTGATATCATTCCTATTCTTGTGCCTCCATTGCTGCAGGTTATGCACGGTCTCAATCTGTTGCTCTCCGTGCTTAATGATTCTTTAACCATCCTGGTATCTTGATACTGGAACAACCTCTCATGTGACTAATAATCAAGGTAATTTCTCCTTCTTAGTTTCTTATTTTGGTTTACAATCTGTCAGTTGGTAGAAAAGTTAGGTCCTTTTGCTTTTAATAGAATACTCTGCCAAACTTAAGCGAAACTCCCTTTGTAATCTGTCCAAGCGTTTGGTTGCTTCAGGATAGCTGCTTTTACCTTCATGGCGTGCTGCCTTCCATGTAAATTATCTTTGTTTTGTAGTAAAATCTTTAGGTATCCCACGAAGTCAAGTTGATAAAGTTGGCTAGTGGTTGTTCATGATCTGCTACAGATCCTAATGATTGTTGAATGTTTTTATGCACAAAATCTTTGTGTCCTTCGGTTTCTGATGATTCCTATCTCCGTCCATTCTATGATGGTTTCGTGGTTTTATTATAGGAGAGCCATCCTGCTGCAAGAGCTACAAAAATTGAGACAAGAATAGTGAAAGCTATGGAAGTCCCAGTTATGGAGTGAAATTTTTTTATTTTACAGCAATGCATGAATGGATTTGAGTTTGAGGTTCTTTGATGTGTAGATACATATCTAGCACAATCGTTGCAAATGATTTGTTGTGCCCATTTCTTTATATGCTCTATTCTTTTCTCTATACATTGCACAATAGTTTCTAACCATTGTTTCCTTCTGGTCATTTAGTCCTTATGTTTAAGGGAGATGATCATAAATGTAGGAACCTGAAATGCATGCAGTCTCTCTTTTAGCACTTTGGCAAACTTGTTTGTCCTTAGAGAAAGTGAGAAACTGACGTAGCAGAAGCTCACAAGAAGAAACTAAACACTATTGATCTGAAAATTCAAACACAAGTTTTAGATACTAGTCTATTACAATACGTTGAATTGCACGCAAATGTCAAGAAATAGATTTCAAATTCCGTTGATTCAAAAAATATCAAAAATTGAGATAAAATTGAGATACTCTCTCGTAAAACTTTATTAATCAAGAAAAGATGTTGTCTTTCAACCTCTAAGTCATCATAAATAGAATATCAAGCCATAATTCTAAACTAACTCAAAAAGGAAAACAAAAAATAAAAATCCCAAAATTTAGGAAAATATCCCGAAAAACACAAAAAGTCCATTTTGAGAGCCTAAAAGGCTTTTTTTTTTTTGGCAAAAATCACACCTCCATCATGGCATAGCGATGAGTTTGATTCGTTAAACCGTTTAGCATCAAACTACGTCCAAGAAGCCTTAAAATTGAGCTGACAGTTTTTTTCAGCTTCTACCGCACTCGTACAGCTCAATAAATTCTAAGGCTTATTGATCTGCATCAGAAATTGTTGCCTTTTTATATCTCTAGTAGTACAAGAAAACAGGGTAAAGACCACAAGTTTTGGGCAAGCACAACACTCAGCCATTGCTAAATTTATTTTCCAGCGCTCAAAATGTTATCGAAAAGCGATATCATAATATGTAACGCTGCCAAATTACAACGTGCATTATTTCAAATTATACAAACTGTTGACTACATAAGGTATTGCCAAAACGTCGGATAGCTTTACCTTCAGTAGAGAAGCAGAGGAGAGTGGTGGTAGAAAGAGCTGCCCTTCATGCAGCAATTTTAGAGTATGAAGCAATGCCTGTCTGAATGTATGACCTTTCCCAATTCCTCCCATCACAGTGCTTAATCTCGACATGAGTGAGAGTCCCCGGATCAACACATCTGTATGTAACTGCAATCCCATCTGGATTTGATCGTGGATAATAAAACGAAGTTATGCCACAAACCTTACAGAATGTGTGCTTTGCTGTATGCGTGCCGAAGGTGTAGGTCGTAAGGAATTCTTTGGAATCTCCCAGAAGCTCGAACCTTTCAGCAGGGACAATGAAGTGAATGTTACCCCTCATGGAACAATCAGAACAATTGCAGTCCCAAGATACAACATTACTCGGTGCTTGAACTCGCCACCTTACTCTCCTGCAATGGCATCCTCCATTGTGCACTACCGAATTTGATTCCATCTGAGAAAGTACTAGTTTTTCAGAGGTGAAATGAGAAGAAGATGGTAGCTTCTTCTCGAAGAACAAACATTACATGTCAGTCGGCGATAAGAAAACAAGTAATAAGAAATACAGTCCACCAGACTGATGAATGTGTCAATTGAAATACGTTCTCTTGATAAATGCAGATAGAAGCCACATTGTGAAAACGTGGAATTTACTTTTGCTTGCAATTACATTAGCTGAGGATGAGGTTGGTTCAAATTATATGAAACTGTTTATAAGCTTATCAGTGATGCTGGCAGGCCAAGTAAGAGTTTATATGTATAATATCCAACAAGCAGTCGTAATTTCTGCTGAACAATGATAATTCACCGAAAACAGCAGCTTAAGCCAGATCAGGTGAAAATGGAAACAAGAAAGAAACTAGTCCAGATGACATATTAGACCAAAATTTAAGATTTTAGGTCATTACATTGACCACTCAATACAATTGCTCTAGAGAATAACTGAAGAAACTGGAAAGATAGAAGATAAATCAGCCCTAGTTGCCATTGTTCTCGTGCATCCTTAATTATTCAGCAGTGAGAAATGCTTAGGTCATAGACGCATCCAAAGCCAACTAGCACTTTTCACTACCTCCTATCAACACACTTCACAACCCACTTAAATGAAAGAAATTCATTAGATTTCAGTCTATTTCGTCCTACTGCTATGTTCTGCAGCTTGGAAAACAAATTCGACAGAGCGTTCTCAAATCAATACCCCAATTATTTGAATCTCTTTGAATGCTAAATTAACCCCATCACGCCATCCATCCTTCGCCCTTAATATAGCTCACCATCAATACCCTTTTATCAAAACCCACCAAGAAAAAAATCCAGAAAATGTAACCGCCATGAAGATTATTCTTTACCAAATCAAACACTTACGATAAGATCCTACACCTGTCACCTACCTCAAATGAAAGAATTTCCAATCACAAATAGTGCTTTTCCAAGAACCAGCTCCATAACTTCCCTTATACCTAATGACGCCCTTCAAGCAACCTCCCTCTAAGAAATATTTTCCAATCTACTGTACTGACCTAAAACAGCAAGACAACAGATCCCCATCTTCAAATACTCCATCCAACCCCAACTCAAAATCCCTCTGGATCTACCTATTAGCAGCTTTGAAACTGAAGCTACAACAAGTCCCCACAAACCCTTTCTCAGTTCTTTGCTAATCTAAACTCCAAAATAGTTTCCTGGATAAACTAACATCATTAATATCTATAAATCCTAAACTACAACACATGTAACTGAATTTAGCAGCTAGTAGCAGACACAGAAACAATATAAGACAAGTTTAAGCAAAGTGCCTTTACATGTCCTAAATAAAATACACGATCATCTGCATCATGGAAAAGAAGCAAGAAAGGCAATTTACCTGAGAAAAGGTCAATTCTGCCGGCTGTAGGAAATTGGAAAGGCTCAAGTCAAGTCGCCAAGTGCTAACACAAATGCTGCTTCTGTGTTCTGATTGTTTGAAAAAGAATCAAATTTCTGTTACAGTTGTGGGCTCTTTATGGACCAAGTTCTTATGCATTCATGTGTGTTTCTCAGCCCAAACTCCAATAATGAGCCTAAAACCCTAGTAAATATTTGGTGAAGGGTTTTGAAAACCCATGGCAGTATGCCTAGGCCATAATAAGGAGCAGGAGGCATGGCCAAATAATACGAGCATGCAATTTACATAATCATTCTTTCCAAACTCACTTCGAATAACATTAATAAATCCTATGCACAGTTTTTCCATTTTTAACAGCTTCATAGTGGATAAGAATCAATAAAGAGATGATATTACATAACAAGAAGATTTGTGCCATGGCGTGGTCCCAGGAGCATGGTAAGGCATTATTTTGAATGGCTTAAAAATTCATAAAGACAGGAAGATGCTGACTTTACAACTAGCTGATGAACAATTTGATGTCAACAACATCATTTCGTTTCTTATCCGTTCCTGTTGGAGAAGACAACTCCTCTTTGGGATTATATATTAACAAGTTTAAATTAGTTAAATCATATGTTATTGTGGCACATAAAATGAAACCGATTGGATAGCTCGTGTAAAATGAATAGCTCGTGTAAAATGATTTTTGTGCTATGAAGTATGGAGTCTCTGTCAAAGAAAAATATATTGATTTTTGTCGATTTAGCATAATCAACTCTTTCTTATTCATCGGAGGCCTAGCTAGACAATAGAGGATAGGTTTTCCCTGTTACATAATCAATAAAGAAATTTCGAGTTATTTGAACTCGGATTTTCTTTCACTAAAAAAGTTAATTGAGTACATCATTACCCTAAATTTGCTTGTGTAGTATAATCAATTCTAATCAATAAAAAACTAATCATGAAGATCAAAAAGCCCTAAGCATACGGCATTATATATATATATCAATTATTGGCACTTGAACTTGAACAAGATGATTAGGTGGAACAAGAGTTATTATATTTAAAGATGGCAATAGATATCTATGCATTGGGTTTTGGATGTTCATATACTAGTTATTATCTATTGAGTGCAAAATTTTAAATATTTATAAACCATCCATCTGAGTTTTAGATATTCATTGGAGTATTCATTATTTGAATACTTTTATTATTAAACATAAAATAAAATAAAATAAAATGATTACCTATATATTTGAAGTGTGTGTATTAATGACAAAATTATAAATATTATAACATATATGTGTCTATAAAATTAATAACGTAGTATGCCATATGTTATATTTAATAGGAAAACTATACATGTTTTTACATATATAAGTTTATAATATTACTCTACGTGTATTTTGAGTTGGGTTTAACAGTATTCATAAGCTATCCATTATCTAATGGGTAATAATTTTTTACATCCACACCCAGTCTAAAATAATAATTATCCATAAAAAAATAAAAAATAATAACTCTATCCACTGAAAAATCGGTTCTAATAATTTGGGTTGAATTGTCATAGCTAACTATATCTATTTATTTTAGATATAGCTCAAGAGTCAATATCTATGGTGCGCGTGGTCGTTTGGTACCATGGGGGTCCAAAGTCCAATTAATCATGGATCAATAATTAAGTTGAATGTCCATTCTGATTATTTCTGAGAAGTAATTAATTACTTGATGTTTACTTGAGTTGACTCTTAAATGGGAAAAGAGGTGGATTTAGGGGTCTAGATTAATCTTCTTTCATGCATGATAATTATGGATATAGAGGTAACCCTAATAATTCATCAAACACTTAATAATACATTATAATCCAATATGTGAACACACTCTTGACCTTCTTTTCCTTGCTTCTCTTTTTCCTAATCTATGGAGCTGACATATGTCTTATCAATCGGTTAATTCATTAATATTTAGGTCAAAAGTTTCTTCAAATACATTAGTAATTCAATATTTAAGCACACTTTCTTGTTAGGAAACGGATTCAAACAAGAAAAATAAAATAGAAAAATGAGATTTTTTATTAAGATTTTATCAATTAACGGTTTATAAATATAAAAGATATTATCTTTATTTATAATGATATCGCTGTATGCATAACGACCTAAACTGTATGCTACGTCAATACAATTATACATAATTTGACATTTGTTATTGGAGCGAAAGGGAAATGCTAATTGATTGATTGATTATATACCTTTGTTCTTATCCCTACTAGCTCATCAATCAAGTTGGTAATCTGTATATTTCAAAGTCAAAAATATTGATTGATATATACTACAATTGATACCAATAATTCATGATTATCAATTCAGTGAAGATTCTCCACTCAATCTGGATTAGACATATGAAAGTGCCAATTAGTAGCATGAGGAAAAAATAAAAAACATAATTAAATGAAATAGAAAAATGGCGGATATTCATATTCCCCAGAAAACAAGGGTCAAATGTAATCCTGTCATGTTGTGCTAGTTCAGTGTCTATGATGAAACAAAGGAGACACTGGTGAAGACTGAGAGATAAGGGCTTGTAATAAAAAAACTTATGATGGTGCTTTTGGGAGTTGGGATGTCAATTTATTCCAATTATTCAAACCAGCCTTTATATTAAAAAAAAAAAAATTCCCAATTTTATTGATTCCATTCAGGGACTAATTTAGAGGGACTCGGTATTACTTTTTAGCCGAAAAATCATATTCAACATAATTATATATTTTAACAAGAAAGATAAGTTAATTAATTAAATTTTTATAAATTCTTTTATTTAAAGTAGTCGAGAATGGTGTTTTGCCATTTTGGACTATTATAAATTAAATTTCAACTCAACCATTCAAAGATATATATTTTTATCAAATCAATGTTTGGATGATGGAATTTATATTTTTTATACTAAGTTATGAATTTTGATTTCCTTGTGTATTTTTTTCATCGATTAAGTTACCTAATATATACCAATAAGTTGTTGGTCCAATTATAAGCGAATTGGTTACCGAGATAAGTTTCTTTTCAATATATAGAATTTAAATCTTAAAATTATATTTATTGAAATGGATTAAATATAGTTGCTTTCACTCTAAATAGGATTAGTCTTATTTCTAATATGGAATGAAAATACTTGAAAAAATAATTACCTAATATATGCTCGGTGTTGTAAAAGACATTTACTTTAAATAGAAAATATTGGAAATCACTTAGAAAACAAAAAACTATAATACATGTATAAGTGTTGTAAATTTGATGAAAATTAAAAAAAAAATCCCAAAAAAAATTGTTGTGAATATCTATATAAACCCATTGTAATTCATATACGTATATGCTCTCAATATTTGTAAGAAACCATGCACTATAAGTTCTCAGTTGACATTTAAACAAATGTTGGTCAATTTTATTTTATTTTATTTTTATTGGATCCTACATAGATCCCATTCTATCAAACACCAAGAGATAAACTACTTAGGTTAAACCAAGGAATTCAAGAAAATGCCTAATATGATATATATAGGTCACTCATTACTCATTGGTATAAGACCACAAATT